TTGATAGTGGAATAAGGTTAGAGATTTAAAATAATGTGTGATATGTATATGTGTATAGTATATTATATATAATGTTATATTGTTTTGATGTGCCATTATAAGATGATATGTTCATACATGTTTAAGTATTTAGAGTTTTCTTTATAAGTTTAATGCCTCACTAAGTCATAGACTTAGTGTGTGATTGTTTCACACGTAGGTTACAGAAGCGATAAGAGAAGCGAAGAAGAGCAAGACATGTCAGCATCTCCCTTACAAAATTTCAGATAAGAAAATATATGATTTAAATGTGTTTGGTTATTTTGAATATAGTTGGCATGTACTAATTGATTGAGTTAAATATGTTCTGATCGATTTTGGTTATTGTGGTCAATTTATGTAAATAAACCGCTTTTACTTTAATGAAAGTTTTAAATTTTCTTTGAATTTTGTCAAGAGTTAAAGTTTGAAAAGTCAATGTGACACCTCAGACTCGTATTCGGGTCGGGTACGGGTCTGAGGGTGTTATAGTACCGATAATCATGAAAGGAGTACCGATACTCCCTGTCCTGGGCAGCTTTATTTTTGCAAAAAATTAATCCCCAACGGCTAGAAACGGTCAAAAACTCATTCAATCATATAAAAACAAGTTGAGGATACTTAAAGAAGGTTGGACAACACCTATCTAAGCAATCAAACACAAGAGAAGAGCTTTTCATTCTTATTTTCCTTTCTCTTGTAAATATTTGTGTTTTGAGCTCATTGCAAATCTTTTTAATTGTTTTCTTGTGACCTTAAATCTTGTAAACACCTTCCTTTTGAGAGGTTTTTCTTGTTTACGTCTTATTCCTTTTGTAAAGGGGATTGGTTCTAGCGTAGCCTTTGAAAGCTAGGGAGTTGTAAATGTTATCTCTTTATCCTGAAAAAGAAAGAACAAATTAGTGAATTTGTTAGTGGATGTAGACTTGGTTGAGAAGTCGAACCACTATAAATCCTTGTGCAAATTGTTTCATCTTTTTACTTCTTACTCCCTAAACTCAAAAATCCAATTTACCTCCTCTTGAAAAATTATTCAGTTGATCAAATTGAGCTTCATCGAAATTCCAACACGATGTGTAAGCCATCAATAAAGTAGATAGTGTAATTATTACTTTTCAAGTGGAATCATCGAGTAGGTGAAAGTTGGGGAAGGAATAAAAATAATTGTGAACAATGTATCATTGCGGATATATGCTTACCAACGAGATTGTGTATCATACGAATAATGTGATAGAGAAAATATGTACCATGTGAATATTGATATAGCGTGAACGTACAAGTCGTACCTCTAGTTCAAGGGTGAATTGAGGAAAATATGATGAGAACAACTAAAGAACTACTAATGAATAATCAACTTCGAGTCGAATATCAACTAGCAAATAATATACCAAGTGGTTAGTGAAAATAGTAATTATTGTAAGAACATAAAATGCTAAAGACACATTTAGAGGTGAAAATAACTAAAATCCCCTCGGGTGTTAAATAATCAAAATAGAGTGATCTAACAAACGAATAGATGTAGAAAGACTAATAAACCATTGTATAATATTCTAGATGAGAGAACAATAGAGATAGTAGTGAGTGAGGGATGACATCACCTGATTGTTTTATACTATGATAGTAGCACCAAATTGAAACATAAACTAAACATTAGACATAATTTTAAAAAAACAATTTTTAAGTACTAAAACAAAATAAAAGTAATAGTTTAAGTACTAAATGTGTAGTTTACCCTGTTTAGATTCATACCAACATGAGCCAAATAACGTCAATGGTTAAGAGATAGTTGTTATTCTTAGATGTCTCGGATTCTAGCATAATGTTTGCAAGAGTGTTTGAATGTTTATTGTCAAATAGTTAAAAATATTTTGAATAAATATTACTCATCTTATAGTCCCTCCAGACTAATAATCTTTTATATCAACATGATAAATCAAATAAGATATATTATAGATAAATATATACAATTTCAATATTACACTTGACCTAGTTTGTAATTCAACCAAAATCACTATAAATAAGATATCAAAGGAAGATTGGGAACTAAATCTTTTAACTTTTACTGAATTGTTCAATTAACATCATTATTACTAATAAAAACATAATTTCCAATGGGAAAGACAGCTTTTGTCTTTCAATTAATGAAGAATTGTGGGGTATGTCTGGTCGTTCTTTTAACTTTTCAATCTGGATCCGGAAATGCTAAATAAATTAAGCTATGTTTTTCCATCGACTTCAATAATTCATTATTCGATTTTAAGAAAAATTAAACGAGATTCGTAAAATGCTAAAATAATACACTCATAAATTTAATTAGCATTCTTCTAATAATAATTATTTAAGGAAGATTGATTTAATTTAATCTAGGGTACAATATATAAATGATCCTTGATTATAGGAAACTATTTTGTTGAATTTTTAATTATTATAAGTTATAAAATAATCATCATACTATTAATGCGTTTCAAACTCTCATTTTTTTAAAAAAAATCGATTATCATTTGAACTGGTCATTTACATGTTGATTGAGATATGATAAAATCATATTCTAATTATGTCTATAGGCACCATCGTTGCTTTCAAATATTGGCTCGACTACATAATATTTGAAGCATCAATTCAAAGACATAATATAAATAGAGACTCAATCTATAAGATACAGCTCAAACGATTTTGGGATCGAATTTTATCATACCCCAACTACAATAGTAAAGTCTAGCTCAGATGACTTTATATTTTTAACAGAAAATGACAAATGAGGAACATATGAATACTAACATAATCATTTTGTAACTTTTAATAATTGATGTACTCAATAAAGCAGCTGCCTATAGTTAGGGATGATTTGTGTATTTTACCATTTAATCTATTATAAGCCCGTTTGATGTATGACTAGGTATTGAATTACCATGTTGCCCTCAGATTTAAAGGAAAAGGGTTTTTTTGAAACACGTGTTCACCCTCCATCAAGTATCACACAAACTAATCGAAACTCGAGTGTAAGTTTATCAGAATCCCAAACAACAGTCAAAAATCTGTTTGGAATTCGAAATCTCGACCCTCTTAAAAAGAGACGTTATAGGCTTTTTTAATTTGCACTCCATTTTAATAATATGATTAAATTGTGTTTTTAAATTTAAACTATATAATTTGAAAAATATATTAAAAAAAAATCTCATCTTATTAACTCAATCTCCATTTATTTCTTATGAACTACAACACGTTCTCTCTTCTTTCGTCTCTCTGCCATTTTTCTCACACCCCAAAAATCTCAAATTCAAGCTTAACCCATACCAGTGTTCAGTCTTTTTCTCTGTATTTAAACCAAACCCAGAAAATTTTAGCTGCATTTAAGTCGATCCCCTTCATTGTTTTTTCCGGTGAAAGTCCTTTTCTTTGGTTTAAAAGTTTTGTTGTTTTTTTATTTTTGGTATTTTGCATTTGCTTTCCTTTCCAAGTCGCTGCTTGCTGATGAACGTGTTGTCGGTTTTGCTTGGTTTAAGGTTGGCATATAATTGATCTGATTTATGGGTGTCTTTGTTTTTTCCTTCTGAATTTAGTGTTCTTGATATAATGAAATCGACTTACTTGGTACATTATCCTTTTTATTGGAAGATTTGATTAGAATTGGAACCTAGGATATTTGTTTGGTAAAATGAGAGTATGCAATTACTTTCTACAAGTTATTTGTTAATCCCCTTAGTTCCATAGAAACTTCAGGTGTTGAAACTATGGTCAAATGGCATGACATTGTAGAGATATTGATATAGCATGGTCTGGACATTGTAAGTTGCATCTCAGTTTGAAATTGTGAGGATGAGTAGCTTAATTCTTTTTAAGAATGAGTGCATTGTGATTATGTGATATAGATATAAGATAGCGATTATGGCAGCAGGAGAAAGGATATGCTTGTTCATCTACATTAGCAGCCTTCTAACTTCCCTTTTAGGGGATCCTGATATACATTGGCTCTTCCATCATGCTATTTAGAAAATGATGGTAAGAAATTCGATTTACTCCTTACTGAGCTGTTTGTTGTGTCGAATAACGTCTGCAGATGGATTTGATTGGTGGAATGGAGTTTTTGTTTCTCTTGTATCGTTTGCTTGTATAAGTTAAGAAGTCTCGAATCGGGCTTTTATACGATGGGGGTTGACAAAGAAAGTTCGAGAAATGGAGGAGGGTATGTGGGTGGATTTTTTCAGCTGTTTGACTGGAGTGCGAAATCTCGGAAGAAGTTATGCTTAAGCAAGTCAGGTTTGCCAGGTTATAAAACTCTTCCCTTTGCAGATGAGCATGCAACATGTTTCTTGGCATGCATATCCAATTGCAAAGTATACTCTTGTTCTGTAATAGTTTATGTATTTTCATGGTTGCTAATGGGTTTTGTTTCTTCAATCTTGTAGAGCGATCGAAGCAGGGAAAAAGAAGTGATGGGAACTTGCCGATGACACAATTCCATCTGGTGAGAACTGGCAAATCCCAGATGACTTCAGGGTTTATCTTTTCTTTTAACTCTCTTGATTGCCATTATAATCCGTGACATTCCTTTACAAATGTTGCTGTTATTATTGCAGACCGATGAGGATGAAATTGAAGCCACAAACATCAAAGGCAGTACTGATTATAGTTGCGCTTCCTCAATCACTGATGATGATGTGTTTGGAGCTAAGGCCCCTAGTGTTGTTGCCAGGCTTATGGGATTAGATTCCTTACCCACATATACTGAGCCATACTCCACCCCTTTGTTCGACACTCAATCACTTCGAGATGATCATATCCGAAATAGAAAACTTAGTTATCATCATAATCAAATAGTAGTTTATCCTGGAAATCTGTTCAATAAGATTGAGGGCCCTGCAAGGAACTTTGTGGAGTCAAAGCCTCAGAAGACAGTCAGCAAGCCTATAGAAAAATTTCAAATGGAAAGTTTACCCCCGAAATCAGCTAAAACAATTCCCATCACCCGCCATAAACTTCTGTCTCCTATCAAGAGTCCTGGTTTTATTTCGACTAAGAATGCAGCTCACATAATGGAAACTGCTGCGAGCATCATTCGGCCTAGCCCACAAGCTATAACTAAAGCCAAAATGCCTATGATTGGTTCATCCTCAGTGCCGGTGAAAGTTCATGATTTCAAAGAACGAATGGAGGCTGTGCAGAAAATGCCTCCGGTTGGATCTTCTTCCCTGTCTTTGAAAGCTCGAGATTTAAAAGAGAAAGCAGAAGCTACACAAAAAACGTTGAGGCACCCTGAAAGGACTAGAAGGCCAGCTGAGTCAAATGCAGCCAAGTATCTTAAAGGACAATCTTTGAACATGAGCTGGAATGGATCTACAGAGACAACATCTCCCAGGACTTCTGATACCAAAGAAATCTCTTCTGCTTTAAAGAGTAAGGGGAAGTCGGTTTCACTTGCAATCCAAGCTAAGTTCAATGTGCAGAAAAGAGAAGGATTGGCTTCGAGCAGCACCCAAAGTTTGTTAGGGCCGAAAAACCAGAGTGAGGTTGTGTGTAGTCAACCCTTCAAAAGCCAACTGATTACTCAAAAGACTTTTCATAAGAAACCTTCACAACAAAATTCTTCTGGTGTACTCAGGCAGAACAATCAGAAGCAAAACTCTATAGCCGATAAGGAAAAATTACCTTCAAAGCCCACGTGTTCCAACTTGCGAAGCAGAAAAGTGCTCCCTGGGGACTCTGCATTCGGGCAACACAGAATGTCAGGAAAAGCTGTTGGGAACTCCAAAACTGGCTCGAGGAAGTCGAGTTTAGTTACTAGTACAATGGATGGGGGGAAAGGAGGTGCATATTCCTGTACAAAGAATCCGAGGAAGAAAAGATCGATAGATAGCGATATCCATTTTGAGAAAAATCAGGTTGTTGATAGTGTGTTGATTGATAAAAACCAGAAGGAAGATCATCCTGTTAACGGAAGGAGCTTCAGCTGGGTTAAAGATAGCAAGAAGAAAGGCATGGATGTTGTCTCATTCACATTCACTGCCCCACTTACCCGTCCAATGGAAACATCTGCTCAGGTTGCTCAGAAAAATAGCGGCTTTTGCATGGATAATCAACGTAAGAGATTCTTGCTTGACACCGACGGTATGAAGTTGTCTTCATCAGGATATAATGTGATCGGGGGAGATGCTTTAAGTATCCTTCTGGAACAAAAGCTAAAGGAATTAACTATTGCTATCGAATCATCTAGCCAAAAGTCTCTCAATTCAGGATCGGCTTCTGGTTCTATATCGTTTTCACAAGATATGGGGCATAGCACTCCTAATGCTTTTACTAGCTTGCCCAGGTTACAAGATAAACTGGGTAGTTGTTACAGTTCCAACCTGTCCTCCGCTGATCTTCAACTGCTTCGATTGAAACAAAAACTTCAGGTAAAAGAATTAGCATTTCAATTTTCTTAGGAAAAAGAACTTCTCTTTTTAACGCCTACTCATTTTTCATCTCAATCATGAGTAGGTGTTGCTATGGAATTGATCAAAACTATTTCTACGAAAATGATATTTAACAGTAATATGGTACATTCAGGGAGGAGCTGATGAATGCAGTAGTAGCTCTCTTGATGCGTTGCGACCTAGTCCTGTTTCTATCCTCGAGCCTTCTTTTTCAATTGAAAGCTGCAACTCTTCAGATAGCACAGACAGTTTCAGCATAGAAGGTAAAGCTTGTGGCTTACCCTTTATGTTTGTTATAAAATCTACACTCTTTAAGCTTTCCTTTTGGTAGACTAATGTGTACTTCGGATATAAATTTCAGGAAGTAAGCTGTGTTCATCTGTTCAACCTCAGGAAGTTCTTGGGCTAAGCGCTTTAAAGAAGTTGCGGCCGGTAGAAGCTGATACAGAGTTATCAGATTCAGCGTCTTCCATGTATTCAAAAACAGTGGCGAAAAGTAATGAAAATTTTGTCTCCGTGAAATCAGTCAACTGGGAACTAGAATATGTGAAGCTAATATTGTGTAATGTGGAGTTAATGTTCAAGGACTTTGCCTTGAACCGTGCTCGTGAGACTATAAATCCTCATCTTTTTGATCAATTGGAGAGCCGAAGAGGTGGATTCAGATGTGATGGTGGTGGGGAGTCGAGGCTAGAACGGAAGGTACTATTTGATTCAGTCACTGAATGCATAGATTTGAGATGCAGACAGTTTGTGGGTGGAGGATACAAAATGTGGACGAAAGGGATGACGATCCTGAGAAGAAACGAGCTGCTAGCTGAAGAAGTGTACAAGGAGATATGCGGGTGGAGAGGCATGGGAGACTGCATGGTGGATGAGCTTGTGGACAAAGACATGAGCAGCCAACATGGAAAATGGCTGGACTTCGAAGTCGATGCATTCGTACTCGGAGTCAACATCGAGGATCAAATACTGAATGCTTTGGTTGATGAGATGATTACTGAGTTCTCTTGAGGTTTTAAAAGCTTTTTGTCAGTGATGTCCGGTCGATGATTGGCAGAATTTGATTATCAATGGCTGCCAAATATTGAAAGCTTTTTTGGTGGTAGAATTTGATAATCATGGCAGCCAAATATTGAAAGCCTTTTTGGTGGTAGAATTTGATCATCAATGGCAGCCTTGCACTCGTTCAAGCATTAGTTTTGTTTTGTCACTGCAAAATTTCCAATGCATGTTGTGTTTCCTTGGGGATCTAATCCTTGTATCATGAAAAGATTCTTAAGTTCATTCTTCAGATTATTTTGAATCAACATTTTTTTCTCTCTTCTTTTTTCAGTAAAACACACTATAAAATATATCATATATAATAATACCCCCATAATGTCCAGTATACATTTTTATTGAATTTGATTCGGTAATAATTGTTTGTGTGCGGTTGGTTGTTTGTAAGTTAAAAACTAGGGTAAACTACAGCAATGGTCATTAGTATTTGAGTAAGTTTTCATTTCCCAAATAAAGTTTCAAAAGTAACAAATTAGTTATTAATATTATCGATTTGTGATAAAATAGTCACTCCTCGTTATTCATGTTAAATTGATTATGTAGCAACTTTAAAAAGGGTTAATATTTAGTTTTACCCAACATCAAATAGATTCTTAAACAATGATTTTATATTATCCCAAAAGCTTTCTAATTTCTATTTTTTTTCCAAACACTTCACCACCTCCACTATATTCGAATCACCTTCTTTGTAAAACGAAAATCACACTTACTAGTCCCAAATCAACCATAAAAATCCTCAATGGATTAATTTCACTCTTATTCCCTCAATCTACACTTTCTTATAAAAAAATACTCTTTTTCTAGGCTTAAATGAGCCTAATTGAGGTTAAGGATGGCAACAGGTCCGGTTAGGGTCGGGTTTTTGGTCAACCCAACCCGACTCAAAAATTTTGTATCCTCCACTCGACTCGACCCAAAAAATATATATTTTCACCCGATTCTGACCCGACCTGATATAAAATAAGAATTTAATTTAAAAATAATATTTTTTAAGGAAACTACATTATTATCATCGGGTCCAGTTGGGTCGGAGATTTTTCATCCTCTACCCGAACCCGACCATACCTCGCCCCTTAAGAAATTCAACCCAACCCGACCCAAACACGAATTTTTTTATAAAAAAAATATGACCATGTCGGATTGAGTCAGAACCAATCAGATTTGGGTTAGATTACCATCCCTTTGTGGCTGGTAAATCCAATTATCGTTTGGCTATTTTATAATCCGCACTGCATTCGTATCATATTTAATGTTGTATAATTATATTATGTCTGAATTTATTTTATGTCGTCTGACCAACGTTAAAGGACATTAAACTTTTAAATTTATGTTATGTTGCACTTTCGCTTATTCTTCTATCGGACTATATTTTCTAGCTGGCCCTCGCTTCTGTCTTTTCTTTTCAAATTTCTTGAGATGGAAGGCCAATTCGGTTTTTGAAGGTGTAGTCTCATTTTCAAAACTAAAGTATGGAAATATAGTCTTTTCAAATTATATTTGATTGTAACATGTATATTATTTCAGTAATAAGTTTATTAAAGATTTAAACAAACTAAAATACTTTATATATTTTTAAGGATCATTTCGGTGACCAATATGACATTCATAATTCAGTCTTAATGTCTAAATCGAGTCTAAAAAGTTATAAATAGAGACAACTCCATCAACTATGTTCAGTAACAACAAATAGTGTTATCAATAAGTATATACTCATAATAATATTATAAAAGTAGGTATCAAACTTCGCCAAATTACAACGGAGAGACTAAATTCTAAATTTCAACGTATTATAGGGAGTAAACCCATAATTAGACCGGTATTTTTGTCCACTCAACAGTACTCTGTCTCTAGATTCCGGTCAACCACATCTGGATAAAATGATAAAAAGAAGAAGAAAAACAAACGACTTACAACAATATTGTATCTCGGAGTGAGAACAGAAAACAAACATATGCATGACGATGAAGCTGACCAAAACTACTGTTATTGTGTCACTTTGAAACAGAGTAATTCCACATAGAGAATGAAGTCAAAGCAATGGGGTGAGCCCTAGAATCATCCACCCCATCCCAAACAAAATGCTCTTAGCTGCCCTGCTTGAACTGTTCTCCTCAGCTTCAAGGTGCTCCTCAACGTCGAAATGACCTACATAATGGCATGTTATCAAAAGAAACAATGTTTTCGACCGCCCATAATGTAAAAATTTGCCCCAATGTTTATTAAAATAGTTATTTTGACATTCCGACATTTTATTTTAGGGTAAAAATACACCTAACGTTTGATCAAGTAATTATTTTGGTTCTTATTCTTATTTTTTTTAGAGTATTTTAACCCTCAACGTTTTATTTTAGGATAAAAAAATTCATATTTTAGAATTTTCATCTATTGAGAGGTCTTTTTACCCCAAAATAAAACTTTGAGGACCAAAATACTTAAAAAAAAGAAAAAGAAACCAAAATGATTATTTAGTAAAGGGTTAGAAGCATTTTTTTCTTTTTGGGAATTTCCCACCTCTTTCAGGACCATAGCCACAGCCTGCTTGGATGGTGTCTCTGATATCCCCAATCGTTGCCTTGTTATAGAACAAAAAGTGTTTCATTATGTTCTCTAAACAGTTGAGAACAAGGTGTGTCTCCGAAAGGCAAGGTCCACTGCAGTATTCATCGGTGAACCCAAGTGGAACGTCTATATTTCCACTTGCTGTCAATCTGTAAGATTCTTCACAGCTGCTATAAATCTGTACGATTCATCACTTTAACCACAAAACAAATACTTTCATGAATAGATAGGTCCTTAAGAAGTGAAAATCTTACATGTTTGTCATTGAAACATAGCAATGCCTTGGCCACAATTTGAGCTGGATCATGATCACCAACTACACTGCCTCTGCCTGTTTCAGGCAAATCTTCATATTCATCGGCTTTACCTAATTGGAACGCGAAAATAGACAGGCATACGATGGTTACTGCAAAAACCCATGATTTGATTGTAAACGAGGACGCCATTGTTGAAGCTTCAAGATCAGTTTGAAGAAAAAGGAAGGATGAATATATAAGAGTGATTGTCCAATGTAAAAGACGATGTCGTCGTATGCACTATCTAATTTCCACCATTGGTAAGTTTGGTAGATTTGATAGGAAAAACATGAACCATTTTGTTGTTTTTTCCATTGATTTCAGTAAAGATTTCGAGGAAGGCAAAAGACTTCATAGGAACGGAGCAGATGAGTGCAAGCCACCAACTTTTACTAGTTCCAGAAATCAAACCTAAAAATCATGCAACGTTTCTCATACTTTTAGTGCAAGTCTAGGTTTCTTTTGGTTATAGAGAAAATTAATGCTGATGTTTATATCCTTGGACAAATCCTACAAAGATCATTGTCACGTCCTTACGAACTTTTTCATTTTTTAAAGTATCTCAACATAAATATATATATACATTGGTGTTAACTTCTCGATTTTAATCGAATTAATAGACTGAACTAAATTAATTTAGTTAAAATGTCAGTCACCGAATTTAGTTCGGTCGGAGAATGATTAATGTTTTTAACATTCGATTGACAGTTAATTAGATTTAAAACCAGTTAATTAATCAAAAATATTAAATATTAAATTTTAAGCTAAAACCCATTAAAAATTAAGGTAAATTATGCGTCTAATATCTAAACTATCAGTTTTGGCATATTTTAGTACCTAAACTTTCATTTTTTTTAATCATACTTACCGTTTAGTTTTTGTTTCATTTTAGTGTCTCGCCATTAAATACTTAACGGACGGACTTGCTAACTATTGTGTCTACAGTCTCCAACCATCACATCCGACAGTCGATGAATCTCAAACTTTCTAGTCTGCTCTTTTTCGACCCCCTAAAAGCGATTCCAGACTCTATTTCACCGGGAAATGTCTCAATCTCTCTAAATCAACGATGAACTCTTTGATTTCTTCATCATCTGATCTTCATTATCCACCATCTGATGGGTCTGAAACTAGATTATGTTGGTCGACTCGTCATTCTTTTGTCGTTCACCATTCAAATTGGTCATCCATCCACCGGAGCTATGCCATGTTAGCCCGCCCATAAAGTTTTAAAGGCGGAGTACTAAAATGAAACAAAAATTAAACATTAAGTATGATTTTTTTTAAAAAATTTAAGTACTAAACTCGTAGTTTAACCTAAAAATTAAGACTCAACTATTTTTAATCACTCTAGACCCATTAAATTGTCAACACCTAATTAAATTTTAACCCAAATTAAAATATATCTATTAAACTCAAATTAATCTAACTAAAAAATTATAAAAAAAAATCATGTTAATCCGTTCAATGATGCATTGTTAGATGTCACTTATTATTTGTAATATTAAAATTGTTCTAGATATTACTGCTAATATTATATGAACTTGCAAGGGTCACACTCTATGATTATAACGAACAATTATTAACTAGATTACATGTGTACAAACTTATTATGCACAAATAAAATATTTAATTAAAGTTAATACATGTATTTGAAACGTGTATTATTTTAACTAAAATGAAATTGTTATAATTATTGTAATAATAAATAATTGTTTATATATATATTTAAAAAGAGAGACAAATGTTGTAATTATATATGAATAATAGAATCTAATAATTGAAGTAAGTTATTTATATTTAGAGGTGATTATTGTAATTGTCGTACTCTTTTTAAATATAATATATATTTGATAACGTCTTGAATTAGATTTTTTTTTAATTATATAAAGGCATAAGGATTAGCAACTAAATTACGATTTGTATCTTTAGTTCTCCATGGGTCAAAGAATTAAAAGTGTTTGATTCAATCAGGTGGATTACATAGAGGTTGAGAGGTAATTGTATCAATTTCGGATCTTATTCACCTCGTACATGAATATCTAAAGGAGATGAGCAGATTAATTTTTTTTGTTGCATCATACGGTATACGGACGATTCAACATTATAAATATTATTTTTTAATAGTTTATAATATGTCATTTTATAGATTATGGTTTTTTAATTTCAATAGTATTTTAGTTTTACTAGTTTTTAATTTTAATATTTTTAAAATTTTAACAATTTATTTATCTTTAATGTTTTCTTAAAGATTAAAAAGTATTGATTGTCCCTGAAAACAATTAAATTTTTTTATTTTTTAAAAAAATAAAAATAAAGTATAACAATAATCATTAAACTATATTCTTTGAACATATACTCTTTGTAATTACTCCATATTAATTAAAAAACTATACTCCTATAATGTTTTTATGTGGATTTTTAAAAATTATAAATAATAATTAAATTGATTAAATAATTATAAAATAGTTATAATATTTAAAAAATTAATAATAAAAAATCATTTAAACATAATTAGGTAAACATTCAAAATATAAAAGCCCTAACAAAATTCATCTTCTCTAAGTCGGTATTTTGACGTCTGAACGCTGAATTGAACACAAAAGGGGGGAGAATACCAGTCTGATTAAACTTAATCCCGCAACTATAATTATATCAAGGCAAGTAATTTCTTCATGTGATTTTTTTTTTAATTTCTTATTCTTGAACTTCTATTGTTATCTAAAGTATATATTTTTGGTTTAGTTTCCTGGTATTGAGGATTGTTCTTGGATTCGTGGAGTATCGATAAGTTAAGACTAGATGGAGGACGGGGTAATTTTTTCTCTGTCAGTTTTGATTACTTATTTATTTTTCTGGAGAGGCTTTGACTGATAACTCGTTCAATTTCATTTTGTGTTTTTTATTATGTAGAACTTGTATTTGGAATCTTTAATTTGACTAGAGTTCAAATTAATGGGGCTTTTATTTATTTATTTTTGTTTTTTATGGGTTGAGGTTTGTCAAAGCTGACTACTTTGAGTAAGGGTTTATTGGGCAATCGATTAGATTACAGAGAAATCTGAGTGGGTTTTCTTTATTCCGTTTGAAAAAGAAAAAAAAGGGAAGATTAGTGATTCTGGCTGGGAATATAGACAGGGCTTCAATTGTAGGGATTCACAGGTGCTGGTGCTCAAATTGAGCTCAAGCTATTGGCTGACAGTTTCCCCATAGCAGGTTTAAGGCGGAAAGTGTTCCGCATTACCTTTAAACGGCTTCAATTCAATGTGCTTTTCATCTGCATTTGTTAATTAGTAGTCAAATTATGATATATTTTAGTAATTTCAGATCCTCCATTGAAGTGCCTATCTTACTATATCCCTTTTTTGTCTGCTGTTTTGCCTCTTTTAAAATTCCCCCTGCTCATGAATGCCATTGTTGCAGAGGATGAGATTTCACCTAAACATAAGCTAGAAGATATAGTTACAAGTGTCAATTTCTGGTGTATTGGTCTGCTAGTGTAACTTTGGAAGTTATAAGCTCTTTCTGATTACAAGTTATATTCTAAATTTAGTTTTCATGAATATATCGCAGGGGATTGTTGGATGGATAAATATTAGGATAATTTCTACAGTGGTATGCAGCCTTGAATTACCAACCCAATTTGAATCTCGGATTTGCACAAATTTTATCAAGATGAATGTCTTTTCATGATCTCGTAAGAATTTCTTCTTGTGACTCATTGTTTTCTTGCCTGCATCAATTAAGTAATCCGATTGATGGAACTCGTCACATTATGCAGTTGGATTCTTGAATCGCTTGATTATGTTTATGTTCCAGTCTGTCGGCGATCCCTGTTATCATGTCATCTTGTGTTTCTGTTCTTCTAGCTAGCCTAGCTAGAGGCATATATAGATTGAAAGAATTACATAAATAAAGTTTTAATCCTTCACATATAGGTGTATAAGATTTTTCCTGCGATGACCGAGGGAGTTTTGGATCTAGAACTCTTTGCAGAAAACTAACTAGCAAAGCGAGAATATGTTCAACTGAAAGAGCGAGTGATGGCCATCAAATTAATCAATTTTATTTCTTGCCAATTTCACCGTGTGATAAAAAATTTCTTTTATTGTTTGGATTCGGTAAGAAATAAAGTGTTTTCTTGATCACCTGAGAGCATTAAAACAAAAAGAAAAAACTGATACTGCCCACAAAGCTTACCACTTGGAGCTAAAATAAAGTAGATAAGAGTGTTTCTTAGAGCTGTTAGCATGCTGAACATCTATGCTTTTGAACAATTGCATATAAAATTCTGGGAGACTAATTTGAGTGTTACCTTCAGCATGGCTAGTTACCTTTTCCACTGAATAAACTAACAGAGAAAAAGTATGAACTGAACCTTTTCCACAGAATAAACTAACAGAGAAAAAGTATGAACTGAATTATGGACATAAACAGTACGGTAGCATTCTTTCAGACTTGCTTTGTTTTCGGTAACAAAATTTCTTGTTAATACCTAAGTTGTTACATAGCTCTCATTCCATGCAAAGAATGTTATTGAAACAAGTTATTTGTGTTACATATACATATATATATATATATATATGATAATAGAGAAAAACTATTTGCTTGTGTTGATGTGTTGTTTCCTTGATTGTTATCAGCAACCTGTAGCAAAAGATCCTGAAGAGAAGGCTCCCAAAAAACATGCATCAAAAGCTACTGAAAAGAAAGGGAAAGCTGTTGAAATCGCTAAAAAAGAACCCCTTGATCCTGTTGCCGAGAAACTTCGCCAACAAAGGTAGAGCTTAGTATATTTAGCTTCTAGAGGTGATGACACTAAGAAACTTCCTTAGTTATTTAAAGTGGCTGTTACTGCATTTATACTTGCTAGAACTAAGCTCATCTAAGTTGAGAACTAATAGTCTAATACTTAATAGGTCCTCTAAGTAACATTTTTTCTCTTGCCCATCTGCATACTTAGATCTCAGAAATTTTTAGGCTTTCTTTGCTTTTATACATCTTCAAAGTTGACATGTTCCTAATATTTGGCGAGTTATTCTGGCATTTGCTCTATCACAGGCTTGTGGAAGAAGCTGATTACAAGTCCACTGCTGAACTTTTTGCCAAGAAAGGGGATGACAAGACCCTTGATAATTTTATTCCCAAATCTGAAAGTAACTTTTTGGAATACGCCGAGCTTGTTTCTCATAAGCTTCGCCCATATGAGGTGAGTTTAATCATCTTATTTTCAAAATTTGGTTTCTATATTGAGAAAGTTCTTTAAGTTGCCCAAATACATACTTTGATGCAGAAAAGTTACCATTACATTGTACTACTCAAGGCATTGATTAGACTATCAGTGAGTTCCTTGAAAGCTGCTGATACTAAAGATATAGTGTCTTCAATCACGGCAATTGCAAATGAAAAATTAAAAGCAGAGAAAGAAGACAGGTAAAATACATGCAGTTCTTTTTCTCATTCTTCTGCACCATAGTATATACCAGAAAGGAAAACATAAAATATCTGCCGGTTCGTTCTTCTCTTTATTGACAATTTTAAATCAAGTAAGGGAAGAAAGTAGCTTTAATACAACTTATTATATTGTTAAAGTCCCTCTGAATGATGCCAGCGACCCCCTCCAGCAGGCATAAATCTTTTAGGAATTTACAGGGTAAAGTCTTTAACTCTTGTATTCCTTTGGTTTGACATATCATGGTTCCTCATATCAACCTTGTTTCACAGTCGATTTTGTATCTGCTACAGTTGCGGACTTTAAATAAGAGGAAGAATTAGATCTCATCTTTAGTTTTCACTGCTGTTTCAGCATTTGACTTGCCAGTCAGCCTACCTGTCATACTCTTAGCCGCCATTTTCTAACTGACTTTTGGACATTTTTTAGGTGGCAAGAAAAAGCAGCTCCATGTTGATAAACCAGATGATGATTTGGTTGTTAATGCTTATGATGATATAGACGAGTATGACTTCATGTGATCCATTTGGGGGCATATATCCCCTTGATCTAGTGTTTGCATAGGGATCTTGTGTTCACCGCAGCATCATGTAGAGGCTGATCCAACGGCTCTGTTTTTTTGGGTTTTTGATTCTTGGAAAAATTTAATTGTCCTATGGACACATCCATAATGTGAAGATACTGGAACTATTAGATAAAAACCTTCAGAAGGAAAGTCTTGTCTATGGTTTTGGGCAGTTTTGGTGTTCTATTGCCTTAAAATTCATATGATGTTTTTGCCGAAGGCTATTGTAAGAATATACAATAATACAATTTGTCTGTGCATTATGAGAATCAGTTGTTTCACATGATTTGAATAAGATTGAATAATCATTATTATTGAGGGGCAACTTTTGAGTTTACAACCTTGAAGCTGTAAAAGAACCGAAAGTTCAACGAATTATTTGTGAACCATTTGATGGAAAATTCTTTTTATGTTCATTTATTTATTAAAGGAAAGAACATCAACAAGATTTTTGTTCATTTAATTAAATGAACAAACATGATCAAATGGCTCATTCGTTTATTTATGTTTGTAAATATTTGATAATATATTTGTTTTGATCTCATTCGTTCATTTATGTTCGTGAATATTTGATAATATATTTGTTTATGCTCATTTAAATTTATTCACATATGTATTTCCTACCTAATGGCTCACTATCCCTTTCATTTCACGTTAGATTGAAGAAAATCATAAATTGTTTTAATTTATGTTTGTTTTTGTTCGTTTGTGTTAGTTTATCATTTAATTGAACGAACACGATCAAGTTATATTCCCTAGCAAACGAACACAAACAAGAAATTATGTTTGTTTAGTTGTTCGTGTTTGTTTGTTTGTTCGGCTAAACTTAAACAAATATGAACACTCCCTCGTTTATTTTTGTTCGGTTTACAGGCTTATGCAATACTGAAATCAATGGATAAGAAGATATTGTTTCTTTCACTGCCAAATGAAAAAGGACATTGGGAAGGCAGATTATTGCCGTCTGTTATGATATTTTTAACAAGCGAATGGCTTGAAAAGTGTACAAAACCGTATGAAAAATGTTGAAACAAAAAGCTGAATACAAATGCCATTGAATGACCAAGTTGTTGAAAAAATGAGGGAATTTTGAGATCCTTAAATGTGCTTGAGAGAAGCAGACAGGATAGTATATTTGTTTTGGATCATTGATTCTGCATTTCAGCAGTTGGCATTTGTAGCAATTGAATGTACGTTTTAGACAGATATCCATAATTTTGTTCTTTGCATTTGTAATAACATAAGTCCTGGATGCCTTGGTTCATTCATAAACTCATGTCTTTGGAAACTGCACCATAAAAATGACAAACACAGAACAATTTCAAGGCCAAGCATCATTAAGCTTCAATCTATATAAACAACCCCTGCACCTCTACAAATTTCACAAAACAGAGCCTTAGCCATCTCCATTTCTCTGATATATACATACAATGGGTGTCACCAGTTACAGTGATGAATACACTTCCACAATCTCTCCAGCCAGGCTATTCAAAGCCTTGATTGTCGACTCACATAATCTCATCCCAAAACTCATGCCATTGGATATTAAAAGCATCGAAATTACCGGTGACGGAGGAGCCGGCAGCATCAGGCAGATCAACTTTGCCGAAGGTGAACTTGCTACCCTGTATTCATCCGACACGTTCAGGCTTGATTAACCAAAGTCTATATACACTGATCAAATATACTAATGCAGGTAGCAAGGTGAAGTACATCAAGAACCGGGTCGATGAGCTCGACGAGAAGAACTTTTCATTCAAGTATAGCTTGATTGAAGGTGATGGACTATTGGGGAAGCTTGAGAAAATCACATATGAGGTTAAATTTGAGAGCACAGCAGATGGTGGGAGCAAAAACAAGATGACAAGCACTTCCTACACCAAGGGTGAGTTTGAGCTAAGTGAAGAGGAAGTTAAGGCTGGCAAAGAAAAGGCTTTGGCTATGCATAAAGTTGTGGAAGCCTATCTTCTTCAGAATCCGGATGCTTATGCTTAATTAAACATCCATGTCTTGGAGGTGAGAGTTGTCAAGAATTTATCTCTGTTTCGGTGTGTTAAAAAGACACTAGCTTTTAGCATGTGTTTTGGTATTGTTGTGTTAACAAGGATTGGGATCCATTACTTGTAACGTATTTTCTTCCTTGAATGTATCTGTAAAACAGACAAAAATAATTGATGAAAATGATTTGGTTGCAGATACAAAGCAGTGTTATGTTTCATTCCAAGCTCTCTTTTTTTTCCATTCAAATCATGGTGTGATCATGGATGGATCGAGGGGATGAGTGTGACAATCGTCGTCCTTGAAAATTTAAAATTATAATATATTTTAAATTTTTCTATGTATTTTTTATTGAAAATATTTCTGGCCCCTAGAAATTTATAAGTTGATCCCCTTCTAAAATTTTAGAAGTTCACTCGCCTAAAATAAAACTTTATGTCTATCCCTGTTTGTCATCAATTAGCCCTGCAATATGGGTGAACATTCGATTGAATCGAGTCGAGTTAATTCAAATAATTTTGAGTTAGTTGAGTTGAAGAGTCTTATTTTATAATTCAAACTTTATTTAAAATTTTTCCGAGTAGGCTCGAGTCGAGTTTATAAAATATGAGTTGAGTTGTTCGAGGTTACATTTATAATATTATGATACTATTTGATTATGACTTAAATGATTTTCTATAAACATATACTATACACATATTTCTTCATATTATTTTATATGTGATATACAATAAATCATAAATAATTCATAGATTTAACTCAACTTGTAAATTAATCAACTAATTACTAAAAGTTTCGAGTTATTCGGGTTCTATTTTATACGTAGACTTGAAATTGAAATTCTTTTAAGTTGAATTGATTTTTAAATTTACGAGCCGAGTAAACCCAAATCGAGTTTTACTCCCTGTTTATCTGGCCTGAAAGGAAAAAAAACTATGCCAACCCATCCAATTAATAGTAAAATATTTCATTTTATTTTAAGCTATCTTCAAATATATACTAACATATCACTGAATATATATTAAATATAAGCGCTAACATAAAATATTTTTAACCATTTCTACATTTAAATTACTTGAAATTCTAACCTCTAAGATTTAACCTTCAGGCCAACAACTCTCTTATTATAAGGATTTAGATTTTTTTTTTTCATTTGTCGTTGTCCTTTGCTCTAAGGAATCCAAGGCCAAAGCAATCGAAAATTTAAATACTTTATTTAATATATTAAAAATGCAGGAAAATATAAAATATAGAGGTGACAAATATGTATTCGTATATAATAAAACATCAAAGCTGTCTCCAATGGAACGAGTAAAAACAATTTATTCAGACAAAATGACCCTTTTAAGTATCTACCATTTCACTTAGCAATTCAAACCAAATGATGGTAAAAGATTTTACAGTGAGACTCTTGCCTGGAACAATACTACAAAAAAAAAAAAAAAACAGAAGAAAAGAATTCAATGAACACCCCCCCGGGTAACCTTTTTGCTTTTGTACCAGCCAGCACTACCAAAAATTTGTTTACACAAGAATGAAGAAATGGAGCTGTACAAACAATTTGCAGGCTTTGCAACATGCCCAAAATGACATCACGAATCGACGAATAAACAGGTGTATTCTAGGCATGTGTTTTTATTCAAAAGAATCAGAACTTTTCTCGAGATGGTAAGGCGTAGGAATCTCTCAAAAGATGGCATCATAATATTGCAGCTCTACCATTCGGCTTCATGAGGGAAAAGCATGATGAAGATGTGTTCAAGTTCTCTAGTTCGGGACATGGTTTGGGTGAAATGGACTCCGAAAAGCCCGAGACGTATGAACATTGCCAAGAGTCGGAAGAGGTAGAATCGATTGATAAGGAGATATTGGATAGACATATAGAAGTGAAGGGAGATTCTTGGATTCCAATAAAATTTCCAGCCATATTGATGTTTGTGCCAACGATATTCTGCAAGGTGATTTTCTCCAATACTGGAAGAGCATCAGGATCGAACTTGTCATCCGGATGGGATCCGCAATTACCGACAGCACTAAAAGCTGTTTCAACAGTTTGCATGTTCACATCTGATATGATAATCTCTTTAATATGACCACCCCTACCTTTTGTTGTTCTAAACTCGATACCCATTAACGAGTCATGGAGGTAGAGCTGCTGCACTTGGATTCCTGAAATGCCACCGGACATTTCGCTACCAAAGGCAAGGGAAGAGCCTGAGGATGATTGAAGTTGGACCCTTCTGATATGGACATTTGTTGTAGGTCTGCCATAAGCAATGCCATACTCATCCCAGCCACTCTTGAGAGCAATTGCATCATGTCCCATACTAATGCTGCAGTCCTCGATGCAAATGTTATCCGAAGAATCTGAAAATGGAATGTTAAGAACAATTCTGAAAAGAGATAGTGAAATCTAACATATGAAGAAAATAGATGTTAGTTGTCACAAACCCGGGACTATGCCAACAGTATATGGTGATCCTGGTGGCGCATAGACGGATATGTCATGAATGTGCACATTGCTGGATACCATCCAAGTAAACATAATTTAACTTTCGGGAATGGTCGACGGATAGCATAAATGTTTAAAAGCAATCAAAAAGGTATTCAAACCAACCTGCAATAGACTGGATGAATGTTGTATGCAGGGGCATTAAGAAAAGTAATGTTCGAAACAAGTACATATTCAGAAGACACGAATTCCACGAGGTGAGGGCGGGTATAGTTTAAAGAATGAGATATGAACCAGTCCCACCAAATCGAGCCCTGTCCATCTATGGTTCCGTTATAGCCTATCGCAACAAGCAAGTGCCGGTTCATTATAGATTCAATCAAGATTTTCAATGAGCAGAGTAGAGAGAGACAAAGTTACCGGTTATTACGACATCACGCAACATGTATCCGTTTATCAAACTTCGATATCTTTTTCCAGGAAGTTCGATTCCTCGACCATAGGAGGGTAAAGGTTCAACAATGCCCCAGTGAGATGGATCCTTAACAAAGCATGAAAGTTCAAAAATGGTTCCTAGTACTAAATTTGATTGTAATGGAAAAACAGAAGACAAATACCTGAGATCCAAGAATGACTGCACCCTTTTCCAAGAAAAGAGTGAGGTGGCTCGTAAGATTGAAACTTCCAGTAAGCCATCTTCCGGGCGGCACATACAATTGAGCGCCACCTTTGTCGGCAAATGACTTGAGATAGAAAATGGCATTCTGAAAGGCAATGGTATTCAGAGTTTTGCCGTCGCCGACAGCACCGAATTCCGAGATGGATACACTATGTGGTCTCGAGTCCAACGTCGGCTTAAGGTCGCATCGTCCATTGCTCTCCTCTCCATTAACTCTGACTGCATTGCACAATGCCAGCAGAAACAGCAAAGCCACCTGAGTTGAACACTTCATATTCAGACACTAATGGAAAAAAAGATCAAGAGTTTCACATCAAAGAAACAAGACAAGAACAAAAAGAATCAAACCCCTAGTACCTTAAAAATGCTTGACAACATATCAAACAAATAAGTGGTAGACAGTATCAAAACTATGTACAAACCTCTAGAAAAAGAACACACAAATGTAGCAGCAAAAGTAGATATGCCTTGTAATGCTAAAAGGCCAAAAGGAAAAAAACCGCTAACCAGTTTGTCCAAACAAAGGAAAACACAAACTTTGGACATATTATACAAATATGATGAATTAATAATGATGGGTGATTGTCCCGATCCATGGTAATTTACCAGGAAATTAAGCAGGCATTGAATCAAACACGTAAACTGCAGAAACTACTGAACCGTTTTAAATTCCAAAAAAGATTTTTAACAAATCCAAAAATCAAAGCTTCAATACTCTTTGATTCGACAAACTAAAGAAAAAAAGAGAACAAATCCAGTTAAAAGAAACGTACTTACTGACATCTTTCATATGTCAATGGCCTTAGCAAAAACTAAGTACTGAGACAAAGAAGTGAAGAAGAAGAGGAAGAAGAAGAGTTGATGTGGTTCAAACACTTAACAAAGAAACAAACAGCAGAAATAAAACAAAAATAATGAAAGGGAAGGAAGAAGAAAAGAAGCACCGCAAAAAAAGGTAGCTTTCTGGGAGCATGTGAATTATTGTGATAATTAATTCTATATAGAAGACACAAAAATTCTTTTATTTGGACACTAAACAGTTTCAAGTAAAAAAAAAACATGAAAGCTTTTTCATTAATGCATATGAGCAGTGTAACAAAGGGAATAATTGTAATAAATTAGGCATTAGTGGGTATGATCAAATAACGTCTCTTGCCGACAAATTTGTTTTTTCAAGTAATTATAAAATAATATTTATTTTAGATATTTTTAATTATTTAATGATAAATGTTCAATCATTTTTTCTATAGTTATTAGTGTTTAAATTTGAAATATCTTAAAATAATAATTATTCTTTTAATCATTAATATAATTTAATTCATACGATTAAACCGACTCCAATAACGATTACACTAATAAAAGGTGTATATCTATTGAAAAATATTAGTAAATCACAATTGATTGATTACATTATAAATTAATCGAGTTTATTTTTATTAAAGTTTGATTAACATTTAAATTAAATAAATTTGAATTGAATTCTTAAAATTAAAATGAATTTTTTTATATTTAACTTGAAAAATTAACGAGTAATTTTAAAAAATTAATATATTAAATTTATAATTTTTGAAATTAAATTATTTGATAATATTTATATTTATATATTATTTTTAAATATAATATAAAGTTTTCATATACATATTTAAAGTTTGATCCCGAATCTAATTTGGATTTGAGCTTCAATTGAACTAAATCTGATAATATTTCGAGTTTAATTTTTCTTCAAATTTGAGTTAATTTTAAATTTTGAGTCAAACTTAAAAAATTTAAACTCACAAGCTTTCGAGTTATATTTAAATTCAATTTTTATTTTAAATTTGAATCAAATTTAATAATTTTAATCTGAACGAGTCAAACTTAATTAGAAGATAA